TTTCCTCATTCTCTTTAGATTCCAAAAGCACTTTACACTGCTTCCAAGATAAATATTTGTACTATTAAGAAATGAGATGTGCCAGGAGTGGTGGCTCACGCCTTTAATCCCAGCACTCAGGAGGCAGAGGTGGGAGGATCTCTTTGAGTTCAAATCCAGCCTGGTCTACAGAGTGAGTTCCAGCACAGCCAGGGCTACACAGAGAAACCCTGTCCCTCCCCCCCCCCAAAAAAAAGAAAGAAAGAAAGAATAGAAAAATAAATGAAGTTGGGGGCTGGAGAGATGACTCAGTGGTTAAGCACACTGGCCGCTCTTCCAGAGGGCACAAGTTCAATTCCCAGCCCCCACATGGCAGCTCACAACCATCAGTGACTCCAGTTCCTGAGGACCTGATGCCCTCTTCTGGTCTCTCTGGACAATGCACACACGATGCACAGACATACACATTCACAAAACATGTTAAAGATTAAATAAATACAATTAAATAAATACAAAAATAAAAAAGAAAGGAAATGTCACATGGTCAGCCAGCAGCATATAGCTTAGCAGAGCGTCCTCTAGATGTCTTTCGTGTCAGCTGGGTGAGCATTCCCAATACACCTTTTCTTTGTTGTCCAGTCTCGAGCTGCCCAATGTGGTCTCAGAAGCAGTGGAATGTTTCCTCTTCTAGCACAGACCCCTGCTTATATTCACCTCAGGTGCCTTTTCTGAATGCATGCACTGTTTAGCTGTGTGCAGGGAAGGAGGGCTCGTGCATGGCAGGCAAGCGTTCTCCTGGCAGGCTACATTTTCAACCTCCTGTTAAACTTCTAACTCCTTACTTGTGATTTTTGTCTCTCATATTGTGTTTGGGGGTTGGTAGGGCCTCGCCACTGTACTTGACAAGTAGTCACTTGTGGTGTCCCTGACGCTATGACTGTAGTGTCTTAGGATGAGGTGGGGAGGCATTGAGTTTTGTGTTTACGTACCCAGGCAACCGGCCTGTTTACTGTCTCTGGTCAGCTTCCAAGCCGGCAGCACCGCGCCCGCCCGCTAACACAGGCACAGGCTCCATGCTTGCCTATTGACGGCTTGCTCTTCCAGTTGCATGGAATTGTTAGCTTGAGCAACTGGTGGTTTCTTTTGAGAGGCAGCATCACCATTGTGCATCAGAGTTTCGACTGACTAAAATCCCTGCTGCTCAGAGAGGTGGTGAGACTGATAGGTGTGGCTTGTCCTCCTGTGTCTGCTCTTCAGCTTATTTGACACAGTTTTGGGCCCCAGAAACCTAAAGACAAACTATGGTGACTCAAGAATGGTGGATAAGAGAGAGAATGGACCAGGGGTGAAGATCTACAGGGGACAGAGGACACGAAGGGCATCTGGGGAAGGTTTTCACAATAGTTGACATCTGAACTGGATGTGAAGGCAAGGGAGGACATTTAAAGGGAGGCGAGTAGCATGCTGTGCTTGGTGCATTCGCTACATTGACTCATTTAGTCTTTACAATGGCCGCAGCCGGCACAAGGGGGCTCATGTTACTCTTATGGTGCCGGTGATAGCGCAGAGGCATAGGGAGCTTTGCTCACTTCCCGAAGCTCTCATAGCTGGTATGGAAAGCAGTCTGGAGATGCTGACAGGGACACAGAAGACTGCACTTTCCACCTTCGTGTCTGAGTTCTTCATCCTTCAGACGCTCGCTCTTCCCTGGCTCTGGGAAAATTCAATTCTTACTAAGAACCAGACATTTAAATCAGAATCTTAGAACTTGAAACCTGGAAAGAAAAGCAACCACAATGGACACTTGGCTTATCTCCTTGACTTTATAGGTACAAAACTATGACTAAATTAATGAAAACACCCTTTTCCCATTACAATTGATAGAACCTGTTTTAAACTACCTCATATGAGAAGGGAGATATATTAGGTTGAGATGTAGAACCAACCTTTATGACAAGAAAAAAACAAAAACAAAAACAAAAACTACTGTTCATTGTTAGTTATCTGTGTTCTCTCCTTTATCTTAAATCTGCCTCTGCCTCAGAACATGATGGCCTGAACGGCTCCCAGCACAGCTGGAATTCACTTATATGGCTGCAGGAAGATATAGCTACGGGAAACCACAGGCATATAATTATTTCGTGTTAGTGATTTCAGACTGAAGAGTGAACTTGTCTCTCCTTGTTTCTTCTTCTATAAACCCCAGGGAAAGGCTCCGAATGGTCGAGCTTGGGGACATGTGGCTACTCTTCTGGGTCACATTTATGGTACCAAGAGGATGAGTGGTGTTGGTGTGCCCTGGGTCTCACACCATTCCAGGGTGGGGATGGAGCAGGCGGCAGGCATTATGAAGGGCAGTCCCACCAGAGTCACATGTCGCTTTACAGAAGAAGGAGTACTGCATTCATCAGAAAGAAGGACAGTTGGGCAGTGAGCCTTTTAAGACTGTCCTCAATGGCCGACACCTCCTGGTATCCAGGTTTTCATGTAGTCCTTTGAGCATGGGCTGGACCTAGTGTCTCATTCTAATGAATAGAATAAAGGAAACTCAATGGTGTGTCACTTTGAGATTTATCTTTGAAAGCTAAAGTTCTTCCCCAGTACCTCAAACCTCACAAAGCCAGTTCCCATGTTGTAAGCCAGGAATTAAAAGCTTACAGAAAGGCCCATCTGACAAGAAACTGGGCCTTCAGACATTAGTCAGCTAGGAACTGAGACCCTCAATCCAGTGTTCCACAAGTATTGACGGTCCTGCCAACAACCTCCAGACCACTTGGGGCAGCTTGGGAGCTGAAGGACGCCCTGACTGACAGTTGCAGCCTTGTGTGAGACCCTGGGGGGTGGATGACTCAGCTCAGTGTCACCCAAATTCCTGACCCAGAAGACTGAGAGAGTATGGACATTGCTTGAAATCCTTTGTTCTAGGGTGGCTTGTTATACAGCCACAGAAAATTCACTCTGGGAGAAAGACATTGAGCAGACAGAAAAAGAAGCTGCAAGAACCCAAAATACCACCCTGGTTCTGGTTACTGAATGTTGTGAGTGCTCCCTCCCAGACTGGCACTGTGCTCCTCCCAGGGTCCGTCACCACTCTTCCTTGGTGCCCTTCCCATTCGGCAGTAGGAAAGGGAAACATACCAACAAGGGAACTGTGCTAATAAACTGGTAATAGCGAGACCCTACTCTGTGCTAGTGATTTTCAGACCCTGTTCCATGGTAGATCTCATTAAATCGCTCCCTCAAACCCAGTAAGTCTGGTTTTATGAGTCCTTTTCTACACATAGGAATCTGATCCTAACAGCGGACTCGCTGGCTCAGGACCACTTCTCTGGGAAGCGGCAGGGCTGGGACGCAAGAAAAGCACATTCATTCCGTTACAGTGTGTGTGCTCTGGCAGGCAGTAATTGCCTTTATCCGATAATCGGCCCTGATGAAACCATGCGAGGCTGGCTGTGGCTTCAAGCCTCCGTGCAAGTCGACCTGCTTAATCATTTGCTGTTCGCTGGATTACCCGCTGCTTTCCTTTCTGTGCCAAGGATAATGTCTAACCAAACCTCACGCCAGCTGAACGAGTCCCCTAGGAAGGACTCCTACACTCCCCATGTTTCCTACAAGTGAGGATAAAGGGCTGTCAGTCCCCACGAGAGACTGTGACAGCCTTGACTATAGAGGACATTGACTAGGGACTTCAAGGCCCGGACTCTTGGCCCTGTACCAAGAGTCAGGAACTCCAGGCTTGGTTTCCCCTGCTGCGCCAATGGAGACACTCGTGGGGCAGCGAGGCTGTGTTGACAGTTGCCCTTCACCAAGACAGATGAACAAGATGGCCAGACAGTTCCTAGCCATGTGGAGACTAGACAAAGTAGAGGCCTGCTTTCAGAGCATGAGAAAAATAATTTCCCTGAAATGCTCTTCTGTGTCACGGCTCAGGGCTGTACTACTGAGGGAAGTGTTTTTGGGAATGCAGAGGAGAGAGAGAGTCAGAGAGAGAGAGAGAGAGAGAGAGAGAGAGAGAGAGAGAGAGAGAGGCAGAGAGAGAGAGACAGACACACAGACAGACAGACAGACAGACACACACACACACACACACACATATATATATATATATATATATAGAGAGAGAGAGAGAGAGAGAGAAGAGAGATTTAAACTTTAATGATAGCATATTTTTAAAGACAAATGTTTTTTTCCCAGGAGGGAGTCCTAATAACAACCTCGAAAATGAATATATGTTAAGCATAATTTCACAAGAGAAAGTAATTTGAAAAGAAAAATAAAACTCAAACCGGTTTCTCATGTAAGACTTGCACTGTTTTCAACTATGATTCAGTGGCTCATGGTTCAGGGTCCAGATGCTGCTCTCAGGTCCCGATGTCTAATGCCTCCATTATCTTCACAAGAAACGAGTCTCTCTTGGTATCATGAGTGTGTTATCTCAGAAACACAGACAAACGTGTTTGTGTCTTCCCACAGAGTCAGAATTTATTGAATAACAATAAATTCACAAGATTCAGTGATTTCAATGACAGTCAATTGTCAGATAACTCCACTTACCTTTGTAATCTGGCCAAAGCACAGGCATGTTCTTTCATCCCAATGTTAATTCTTGATATTAAGCCTTATGTTGCACAGCACACAGTGAATATATCTATATATCTACATGTGTGTGTGTGGGTTGAGTCAGAGTTAAAATGTTCCAGAAGAGGGCTAAGGGGCTGAAGAGATGACTCACTAGTTAAAGGTGCTGGCGGCTTCTCCAGAGGATCTGAGTTCAGTTCCCAGCACCCACAGGCAGTTCACGAAAGCCTTTAACTCCATACCCGGAGGAGCCAATGCTCTCTTTGTTCTCCGTGGGTACGCACACATTCATGACATCATTCACATAGACACATAAGTAAAAATGAAAATGAATACTTAGAAAAGCAGTAGACTGTGAGATTCTGTATTGATAGAACAAGGGACCAGACTAATGCTGGGAGGGAGCTGCTGATGGAAACGTCCCAGTCATGATCTAGCTGTGGGGTGAAAGGCTGAACTGGGGTCCTAGAGCAGGAAACAGTGGGCTCAGGCCCAGGCCCAGGCATGTGAAGTGAGGGTAGGCAGGCGGCGGCAACAGTAAGAGTCCAAGCTGAGCTGAAGCCCCACAGACTGTCAGGGAGCTCTCTGCTTGCCTAACCCTGACATATACACTAGTGTCCGACCGTAGCTTGGTGTGGGCCATGCCGTCACAGTGTTAGATGCCGTGGAATGATCCTTCTGTACACTGTGTGAATATGCGTCACTATGATTGGTTTAATGGACAAGCTGGCCAGCCAATAGCTGAGCAGGATAAAGTTAGTCGGGAAAGTCAAACTAAGAATGATGCGATGAGGAAGGGTGGAGTCAGGGGAGTTGCCGGACAAAGCCTGAGTTGGACACACAAAATGGGATAGAGGTAAAAGCCCCGAACCTCAGGGCAGCACATAGATGAATAGAAATGGGTTAAGTTGTAAGAGCTAGTTAGTAACAAGCCTGAGCTATTAGCCGAGCGTTTATAATTAATATAAGCCTCACTGTGTTATTTGAGAGCAACTGCAGGACAGAAAAGTTCTGCCTACAGTTAGATATCCATCATTTTATGGTCTGAGCAAGGAAGTTGCACCCTTTCCTTGCTGTGACTGATAAATTTTGGGGCCTGGATATTGCGGTATGATTTTAATACAACTATGCACTCCCAGAGTCTTAGTTCACTTTGATTAATTCATAAGGTGGCTTCCTTTCTACCTCCATGAATAAGTCATTTATCAGTCTGGACCTAGGTGGTACCTGTGGTGCATTCTGTAGGTTCACCCAGTAGCTATAGTCATTCTCCTTTTAAAAAATGGACTCAATGCTGCTTATGAAACAGTTCCCAGGGCAAGGCACTGCCTGAAAAAATAAGCAAATGAACAAACAAGCAAACACAACTTCTTAGGCATTATGGAGTAACGTGGATTAGGGGGCGTAGCCCAGTCTCAACACTTACCTTACCAGTGACATGGAGGGAAAGGCTAACCCCATGTACAGACCTGCAGACCTGTGTACTGTTGAATTAGAACTAACCAATCAGTTCCACAGCTTATACTTATTTTATGTTTCCTTTTTCAGTATTGATGCAGAACATGGATGGCTGACCTAAAACTCACAGCTGTCCACAGCCTCTCCAATGCTGGGGTTACAGATGTGAGCCACCAATCCATACTGGTTAGTTGGCTCTCGAATTTAGTCCGCTTTCTTTGAGTCACAGCTGATTGGCTCCATCATTGCTACTCTGTGAGGTAATATAGATGTCCAAGAGTCCAAGACTCTAGCCAGGAGTCACCTGCTGACTCTCCACCGGATACGGGGTTTGTGTTAGCTCATTAAATATGGGCGGGGCTGGGTATGGAAGAGTCAGGGGTCACTCACCGCTTGAGTGGGAAGGGAATGGGCTTCTGTTCTTGTAAGCCTTCGATCCAAGGCAAAGTTTTGACCTCTGTGCCCCCTTATCTGGGTTTGCTTGAACTTTTCCCTGAAGCCTTGAAGCTTCCCCTCATCCAGGAGCATCTCCTCCAGCTTCTATGTTGGGCAATATGCCCATAATGGGCGGCAAGTGCATCTCTGACAGTGGGTTTACCTCCGGATGGTCCAGGTCTGCCGACTTTAACGCCTCTTCATTAGCCCGGCTCTGGACACGGCGGCTGTAGACACGCTGTGGTGCGCAGTGTCTGTGATCCAGCAGAGCTTACACTGTGGGAGGTGGTGGTGGACACCAGTCTTCACAATAGGACAAAGTGAAGTAAGAAACTCCAGCACGGAATGAATAAAGGACCCCAACTTGAGGAGTGAGACCTTTCTATTTTTTGGTCTGAGAAATGAAAAGAAGACCTGCTTCTTAAAGGCACAGCGAGTGCAGGGTGCTGAAGCAGCCGAGGGTAGCATCGCCCTCAAGCGCCATGAGTGAAGAAGACAGCGGCCACCATTTTCACGAGCTCACACTTCACTCTTTAAGGTGGGGGCAGTGGGGTGGGAACAGTCCTGTCCTAGCAGAGCACCTGGGAGCTCTGGTTTTAGGGGATGGCCGAGCGTAGGGAAGTGAGGTTGGTGAGCCAGGAGCAAAAGGTTACCTGCTTCAGAGATGAGAACTGCTCTTTCAGATGTGGCCCCCAAATGGTACCTGTGATGGTTGCAGCCACAACCCTGGTGTCTCCCTGTGGCCTGGGAGACCAGGGCTGCACCACCCCATAGTGCAGAACTGCATGAGGGCTAGGCATATCTGCTGAGAGGCCTGGGTCTGGCCAAAGTTAGGCAATCGGGAGGTTGGAAACTCAGAGTGCCAGGAGGGCGGGGGAGGTGTTAGTTCTTTTAGAAACCAAAACCGTGCTCTCGGAAGGCCTTGGCATGATGTTATGCGGCATAGGGGACCCTGTGAGAAGACATGCGCCTATTCTTCCCAAGCCCTCCCTTTCTTTTTTCTTAAAAAAAATCCAGGATATATTGACTATGTATCAAAGACTATAACATTATATTTTTGGTTGTGAACCTAGCTTTTAACAGCTGAGCCATCTCTCCAGCCCTAACATTATATTTATAGCAATGAGCAATATAGTAATTGTTTTAAATGACCTGTCACATATAATTACTGAATGTTCAAAGATAACATGATTCACACAACACATTTATTTATTTATTTAGAGGCAAGGTCTCATTATGTAATGCAGACTGACCTCATACCTCCTTGGCATCCTAGTGCTGGGATGGCAATTGTAAGCGTGGCTGTCACACATTATGGCTAGTCCTGTTTTGTGTTGACAATGACAAGACATTGAAGGTGGGGCTGGGTATTGGCTGTGAATTTGTACAGTCTCTCATCTCTTTCTGCTTTTCCCATATTTTACAATCCCACCTTAGTCATTTATCTGTTTACATTTCTATCATTTTCTTTCTCATCTGTAAATGGAGAAGACATATAGCACTTCCAGGTGATTCAGGTGACTACATCTGTAGGTCAAATACAAATGCAGTGCTTTGAATGAGATATCCTCTGATGATAGCGGGCATTTGAGTTCTTGACCCCCGGCGGTAGCTATTTGGAGGCACTTAGGCTGTGTGGCCTTGATGGAGGAGGTATGCCACTGCTGGTGGGATTTCAGTTCTCAGAAGCCACATGCTTTCTGACTCCTGTCTGCGGTTTGAGATGTGAGCTCTCAGCGCTGCCTGCTGCCCCCACTCTGCCACCAGGGGCTCTAGCCCTTTGTAAGCCCAATTAACTCTTCCTTCTATAAGCTGCCCTTATGTTTTATCACAGCAACAGAAGAAAGAGAAGCTGATACAAAGAGAAAGGAGTTAAGTCCAGGAAGTCTCTATAAACCTTAGAGCAGGGAGAAAATTCAGCAGTGTTACAAGGATGACACGGTGACCCTTGAGATCACCTGGTGCCCTGAAGCTCTCTGGTCATCTGAATCTGTGAGCTCTGGGTTCAGTGTGAGACTCTCTCTCTCTCTCTCTCTCTCCCCCACCCCACACACTAAGGTGGAGAATGGCAGAGGAAAACATCTGGCATCAATGCCGGGTCTCCACACGCTGGAGCACAAGTGTGCATTTGAACCCACCCATACATATACACATATGAATACACACATACAAATTAACAAACAATAAACCAGACCATGACCTGGATTTGCCCCTAGACTCTCGCTTATCGGTCCCCATAGTTTTGGTTAAATTCGAGCAGGCTAGAGGCAAGTAAAAACAGGAACAAGGGAAATGGGCTGTGAAACACCCTGTCAAGGGTTTCTCCATATTCACCACCCCCCCTTTCTCCTTCCCCATGTCAGCAGACTTTTTACCGGCTTCTTATGGCTAGTGGTATCATGGGACTAACCCTGTAGAGTGGAGGATGGTTAGGAATGAGCTTCTACCTTCAGGTCTGGCCCTTCAGAAACTTCCTGAAAGCTCTCAGTGGTCTCACTTGTTCAATATTTATCTGCCGGCTGGGAAGAGAACACCCAGAGAGGGTTCTAGACCCTAGAAATGATGGTCAACTTCCTGGGAAAGCGGTGCCTGGCCTGCCTGTGGATGATACCTTGATTAGGTTAATTGAGGTGGGAAAACCTTGGTGGTGGGTGGTGCCATTCCCTGGGCTGGGGTACTGGACTACGAAAAAAAGAAGAGGGGCTGGGAGATGGCTCAGTGGTTAAGAGCACTGTTCGTTGCAGAGGACCTTCGTTCAGTTTCTAGCACCTACACAGTGGCTCACAACCGTCTTAATCCCACCTCCAGGGTGTCTAACGCCCTCTTCTGGCCTCAGAGGAACCAGGCACTCACATGGTGCCGACAGGCATGCTGACCAAACACTCATACACATGAAAATAAACCAATGAGAATAAAAAGGGCAAAGTGGGCTTACCACGAGCATTCACTACTCTCTTTTGGACTGCAGATGCAAAGGATGCTGGGAATCGACCTCGCTCCCTGGAAGAGCAGTCAGAGCTCTTAACTGCTGCGCCATGTCTTCGGCCTCTGTGAGGCCTTTGTCAAGTGGTCACTCGTCAGGGTCTCCTGCCACCTGCATGGCGTGGGTCCTGGAACCCTGACAAGGGGCATGGGGGAATGAAGACAGGATGGGCACACACACAGGTCTATGGGAAAGCTGCGGTCCTGTGGGGTGTGTGCTGCCTGATGGAGCCGCAGCTGCTAACCTTGGCAACCAGGAACACGCGGGAGGGGTTAGCTGGCTTCTGTAGGAGGTCTCTGAGGGATAGCAGTCTCAAGCCTCAATGGCTTAGCCAGTTTCCATGGGTCCAAGACCTTGGACTTCCCCCGTCAACATATTCATTTACTCAGGACTTCACATACTCAAGGGTTCCTCAGCTCCCCACAACGGCTGCGGGGCTGCCTGCTTCTGCCCCTGCTGGTGGGGAGTTTCCCTTTTCAAAAATGTGACTTTTTTTGTCCTTTCCTACTGTATCAAATACTTTTAGGAGGTTTGTCAGTTCGTGTCCAGGTGAGCCTCCTGCCTAAAATCTTAGCGCTGCAGGAGGAGGCTTGGCGGTGGGCACATGGCAGAAGGCTTTTCATCTGAGCCGCCTTTTTAGAAATACAAGCTGCCCTTTGTAGGTCAGATGAGGAGCAGGAGAAAGGGAATCTCTAGGCCTGCAACCCTCTCAGCCCTCAGAGCATTATCTGACAAGCAGCGTTCCTTTTTTACACAGCCTTTGAGGTCAGAGGCCTCAGGACAAGATGGCTGTATGAAGCTCCAGGGAATGGAGCACGGATCTGAAGCCCTAAAAGGCAACCCTCTCACTTCTTCCTGCTAGGGAGGAGGGTGGATCTGGATGACCAGATTGTCTGTGGTTGGGAACCACCATTGGAGGGAACACCAAATTATTGTGCATAGTGCACAATTCACCATGACCTAGATTCAGGCTGATTCTTTTGTAGATAAAGCCACAGAAACCATTCACAGTATGCGTGAATTGTGTGAATTTCTTTACTGCACAGTGTGGGACCAGCTCTGTGTGTGTGTGTGTGTGTGTGTGTGTGTGTGCGTGCGTGTATGTGTGTTTAATGTGCATGGGTGTTTTGTCTGCATGCATCTCACTTAGTACATTATGTGTGTACCTTGTGACCATAGAATTTGGAAAAGTGGCAAGGAACTGGAGTTACAGACCATGGTGAGCCACCATGTGGGTGTTTGGAGTTGAATCCATGTCTCTCCAGCCCCTGGAACTTGTAGTTTGAAAACTAAGCATCAGTTTCCTAACCATCACCTCTGACCTTTCCACTGTCCTGTGGTGAACAGCCTCCCCCTTCCCCTGCCAGCTCACTCCACCGTCACCGGAATTGAGGCATGGGTGAGACGGGCTGCTGGCTAGAGCTCTAGTCTCCTTAGGGAAGAGTCTCCAGCACCAGGAACTTGTTGGAAATTCCAGTGAGCATGGTAAGCCAGCGTATCTGCCCAACCAGGATGGACAGTAAGCAGCAAGGGAATGTCTTTGCTTTTTGAAGTCTCTGTGACACCAAAGGTTGTGTACCAATGTAGCATGTCATCTAAAATGACAGTTTGCAGGGAAGCTGGGCAGGGGTGGGGGAGAAAAAGTTGCCAGGAGTGGGCTGTGCTGTTCTTGGCTGCACGTGGCCTTGACACCTATTACTAACCGGCACTCTTACGATGAGTTACCACTCAGTTAATGGAAGAAATGAGAAGCCAGCCTCTGGGAGTGTACATATCAAGTAGAAACATAGAAAGCGGATGGTCTGGAGGTGAGGACAAATGCCCCATTTCTTAAAGAGTCACAGATTCCCACCCTGGTAGGAGAGCTAAAGTCCAGAATTGTGTCCTTTCTGTTCATTCTGCTCAGATACAGCAGACTGTGACTCTGTGGTTGGCACGGCTGTTTGACCCACTGCTGCCATCCGGGGTCAAATGCATGCACTGGGTCCTCCCCCCCTACAGACCTCTCAAGGCCCCACTCAGAATGGGAGTCAGATCCCTGGCAGACTTAGGGAAGCTCCAGCACCCCATCCTTAGGATCCCTGTGCTCTTTCGCATAAAGTAGAGAACCCCAGGTCCCATGGGGGAACCATCATCTTCAGTCAGTGCCTGTTGCAGAATGGGCAATGGGGACACCTCGTGAAATTGGCTACTGGACCTGTAGTAGTTTCTTTTCTTGTTGTTATGGCACAATACCTGACAAGAACAACTTAAGTGAAGGAGGGATTACGCACGCTTACAGTCTGAAGAGACGCAGCCTATGGCACAGAAGGCGTAGTGCCCTAGCAGGAGGCTGATGGTCACATTGTATCTACAGTCAGAAAGCAAAGTGGTGGTTGCTGCTGT